GCTCTCTCTCTCTCTCTCTCTCGCTCTCTCTCTCTCTCTCTCTCGCTCTCTCTCTCTCTCTCTCTCTCTCTTTCTTTCTCTCTCTTTCTTTCTCTCTCTCTCTCTCTCGCCCCCTCCCGCTCTCCCGCCTCTATCCATCTATCTATTGTAGACACGAGGTTTGAATTAACTAAATAAGTTAATAATTTTATCATACAACTCCGTTAAGATTACAGGCCGCCAGCAGAGTATTCTTGTGATAACTAACTGTGAAGCGTGCCCGAAGGCATATAATAAGGAGGCACTGCTCAACCAGGTTATGTGTTATAAGTAGCCATTTTATTAATGCTCATATGTTGTGATGTGACGTCATCAACGATGTACATATATGGTATTGATACATGACTGTCATATCGTAACACTAACTAGGCACGAGCGATGAGGTTGATGGAATGTGTGAAACACGACTCTTCCACGACCAGGCGTTTGCGCATCAAACACAAAGGCTAATGTTGTTGTTTATGCACGGGTAGCAAGATTGTTTATACACGACTTTGCACACGAGCCGTGCAGCGGGGCGGAGTCTAGGAGTCGCTGTTCTTTACCCCTCTACTGGCTGGGTTCGACACGTCCGGGATGTGTGAAACCATGCGGCCGCGCTGTGCTATGGCATGGCTATTAATTACCCACATAACAGGCTTGTGTATATAGAGATCTGTTCTAAAAACGGGAACTCTGCTGCGTCTCTCTCGGACAGCCGACTGGCTACAAGGATGGTTGCCTTGTTTGGGATGGATTCGTGGATACTATAAGACGTATATAAGACAACTCAAAGCGAGTGATAGTCAGTCTCTAACATTATCTTGTGCCTGTGTGACCGTGCCGTACACCCGCCGCCCCTGCCCGTGTACATGCCGCGCACGCCCATGTACCCGCCATGTGGCCCGTTTTTTTTTTAAACCAGCGGAGATACTTGAACAATTACTTGCTGTTACTTATGGCAAGTTGTTTGTGTCATAATTCGATTTTTGTTTTATGGTTGATTTTATCACATATAACATTCGATTTATCACATATAACATTCGATTTA